TGTGTGTGTGTGTGTGTGTGTGTGTGTGTGTGTGTGTGTGTGTGTGGTGTGTATGTGTATGTGTATGTGTGTGTTGTGTGTATGTGTATGTGTATGTGTATGTGTGTGTGTGTTGTGTGTTTGCGTGCGTGTGTGTGTGAGAGAGAGAGAGAGAGGCGTGTGTTCGTGCGTGCGTGCGCGTGTGCGCGTATCTGTGTTTTGCAGAAAAGGCAGAGATACAAATATTTTCAATAATTTACCATTTATTAAATAAATTCATACACCTTACATTTTCCCCACATCTGCTAAATTACCGTACACACAACCCTCCATCCTTACTTCCTCAAACGACAACAAAAGCAACATTATCTCCCCCCCCCCCCCGCCCCCCGAAACCTGACCGTCTTGAAAGGGTTAGTCACCGGAAGTCAACCTCCGCCTCAGGCCATTCCGGTTGAATGAAAGAAGTTTGTGAATGAAAGCATTTTTAGTTGCAATGCATGGAGACGGTTTCCTTAAAATGCTGCGTGATTATTCATGCTTGTTGAGATTTTAATATTTCAAGAATCTGAATTAGTTAAATTCGATTCACTTTGATTGACTTGAAATACTGGAATAGAAAAATGAATAAATAAATAAATGAAAATTATTATTCCCAATTCACTAATCTGGATTTTTTGATCGACAATAAACGCATTTACTTCTAAATAAATGAAAGTAATATGTTCAATAGCCAATGACCTTTCCCCTTCAATAATTCACGACATTTTAAGATATCTCGAAGACCTTTTTCATCAGACTGATTCCAAATAGTCTCATTGTCTCAGCACATCACCTGATTTAAGATATTTTTACTAACAGCTGATGCATTTCTTCCCACACATTTTTTATTTCTTTTTTTTTTTTTTTTTTTTTTTTTTTTTTTTTTTTTTTTTTTTTTTTTTTTTTACTTTCTTTTTAACAGCTGATGGGTTTTTCACTCGAATGGCCCCCGAGACTCGCTTGAATGATTCCTTACATTTTTCCGGGAATTAATGGAGGCTTGGTTAATTCGAAACATTTCTATTTGATGGTTCAGAATATTCCCTTCCGGTCTCTCGTTGTTTCTTTGTCTTTCATTCTCTTTTTCTCTCTCTGTTTAATTTCTCTTCTTCTCTCGTTCTCTCGTTCTCAAATACTCTCGTCATTTAATCGTCTCTCTCTCCAGTCTCTTCTTCTCTCTCTTTCCTCTCCTGTTTCTCTTCTCGTCCTCGGCTCTCTCGTCTCCTCTCCTCACTTCGTCTCTCAGCAATCTCTCTCTCTATCTCGTTCTCTTCTATCTCTCTATCTCACTTCTCTCTGTGTGTCGATCTCGACTCTCTCGTCTTCTCTCATCTCCCCCTCGTCCTCTCTGAATTCTCATCTTCTCTCTCTCTATGCTCTCTCTCTCTTCTGTATGTGTGTGTGTGTTTCTCTCTCTCTTCTCTCTCTCTCTGTAGTGTGTGTGTGTTTCTCTCTTCTTCTCATCTCTCATTCCTTCAATTCTCTCCAATCTCTCTCTCTCTCGTCTCTCTCTCTTCTCTCTCTTCTCTCTCTCTCTCTCTCGTCAATCTCTCTCTCTCTCTTCTCTTCTCTTCGTATGTGTGTGTGTGTTTCTCTCTCTGTCTATCTGTTCTGTCTCTCTCTCTCTCCCTGTCTCTCTCTCTCTCTCTCTTCTCTCTCCTCTCTCTCTCTCTCTCTCTCTTCTTACTCTCTACTCTCTCTCTATCCTCTCTATCTCCTCTCTCTCTTCTCTCTCTCCTCTTATGTGTGTGTGTTCTTCTCTCTTTCTTCTGTCCTCTCTTCACTCTCCTCATCCTCTCTCTCTTCTCTCGTCCTCTCTCTCTCTCTCCCTCTCTCTCCACTCCTCTTCTCTCCGTATGTGTGTGTGTGTTTGCTCTCTCTCTCTCTCTCTCGCTCATCTCCTCGACTCCCTCCTCCTCACTCTCTCTTCTCTCTTCTCTCTCTTCTCTCTCTCTCTCTCTCTCTCTCTCTCTCTCTCCTCCATCTCATTATCTCTCCTTCCTCTCTGTCTGTCTTCTCTTCTCGTCCATTCTCTCTCCTCTCTCTCTTTCTCTTTCCTCTGTATATTTGGTGTGTAAAATTTCTTCGTCTCTCTCTTGTCAATCTCTATCCTCGTCAATCTCTGTCCTNAAGGGTGCACTACAGCAAACTGATTAGTGACCTTATCCACTATATTTTTTTTCCTACTGCAAGAGTGCAACAGCCATAATTTCCTGAAGGGTGATCAGTTTTCCTCAAGTTTAGTTTGTTAACCATTCCCTTGCCACTCTCACAAAGCATCACATTAGAGTAAGTTTACAATATTCCAAACAGCTTTCTTTTCGTCAACCAGCAAATAGGCACTGGGGGGGGAGGGGGAGAGAGCAATGATGTTATGATGAAAGAAAACTGTATTTGTTCAACAGCAAAATCTAATACCTGATTCTAGTAGTGAAATTCTCTGAAGAAAGAGATAGGGAGAAACTGGTATATAGGTCAGGTAGCACAATGGACACTTCAGTGATATACAGGAAACCAAGACAATACATTGGTTGATGCAAATATGGAAGAATTGTTATGATTTGCAAGCTATCTCCTAAAACTGATGAACCCTAATAGAGGTAAATTGTTTTACTTATTTATGAATCAGAAAGTAACATTCAGTCCTCCACTTTATTTAAGTTCACTGCAATTTAAGTCGATTCCTCATGCGAAAGATAAAAATGACACCACAGCTCCTGGAATGTAATGCAATAAAAATAAAAAGACAAAAAATACAAGAAAAAATAGAGAAGACCCATGTAAGGCAAGAAGTCTTAAGTCTTTCTAAAGGAATGCACTCCTCCACCTTCTCCAGCCAGATGTTACATCTGGCAGGGAAGGGATGTCAAACCCCAAGTTGCTTCCAATTAAGCATGTGAAATAATTAACAATACAAAACAATTTGATATCATATGGACGAAAAGAATCATTCTGACCACAACTATGCTCACCGATCTCAACGCATAGCAAATACTTATTTTTCACACAGCAAGAATACACAGGTGTATTGTACCGGATGTAATGTTGTCACTGGGACTACTAAAGTCTGGGCGGCCATCATTGCAGGATTACAAAATGATACCTGCAACTGCAATGACAGTTAAATATACAAACTTTAATTATTATGGACTTCTACCAAGGTCACAAAAGGCTTACCCCACTGTCATTTAATATTTAAAGTAAGCCAAAATCCCTAATGCTAGGTCACATTATACCTGGGGCATTTTGTGTTTTCATGAAGAAAAGACATTGAGCAGTTTCTCCTACTATCAAAATAGAAATGGTGGCTTAGAAGCAACTGAGTCATAGTCCATCCATGTAAGCAAAAATAATAAAAGCACTGACTGTGATATACTTTAACACTGCTTCAGACCCACCAAACAAAAGATTATACATGTTTATGTCTTTACAAGGCTTATACACTTACTCATTTATCATGACTGCCAGTATAGCCTAATAATACATAGCGGCTTATCTACTGTTAGCCTTCTTATAATACAGAGAATCTGTTTGGAGAACACAACCTCTGGAAGCTGGATGACAGAATCTCCTGACTTGACACCTGTACAAGCATTGATGATATCTGGTCAACTATCAGGCTCTTTCATCCACCTATCTGGCAGATGGAGTACTCTCCAAGCAGACTTTTAATTATCATCTCACAGCATCTTGGGTTCCTAACACCTAGGGTGAGACAGCACCGAAATAAAACTTTAATGGGATGATGGAAAAGGTTGATTGCTTGTGGAACGGGGGAAAGGTTCAGATGGTAAGAAATCTATTGATGTAAATGAGCATGCTAACTCTCTGCTCAGAACTACAAGAAATTATTAAAAGTAATCAACAGAGTTTGGCTTAGCTTATCATGAAATGATAACAAGCATTTGTTTATGTATTCCTGTGATAAACTAGGAGCAGTGAGAGATGAGGACTGAATGATGTGAGCCTGAGGTAGGATGAAGTCATGACATGATTTTTTTGAGAAGGTATGAATGAGTGAAGCTGATGCAGAAAAATAAAGTTGTTCATTAAATTAACAAAAGTGATGAAGTTTCTTTCTTACCTATACATCTTTAAAATGGGATGATGTTAAATTTATGTCATTTGCACAATTATGTATGCAACATGAACTCTTGCATGATATGGAGAGAGAGAAATGAAAAGAATCATGGATTAGCAGAGTGCTAAGACTTGCAGGGTTCTCATGATTGGTGGTCTTGGTACAATGGATTTTTCACAGTACGTTAGTGCCTCTTTTCTGATTCAAATGACTGAAGCCAAACCAAGAAAATGGAATGGAGGCATCTAAAACTGAGAGGACCCCTGTTTTTTGTACCCCTGTAATTGTCACCTTAACCTCTTCCACCAACTTTTCTGTTCTCTGCTCTGCTAGGGTGAGCAGAATAAAGGGGCCACCAAGTGTTTAGCAGAAGAGTCTCACAGAGACAGTCATTTCCCTCTCATACTGCATTTGTGTATTCTGCACAATAGAACAATTTAAGGAAAAGGAAAAGGAGCAAGAGCAGGAGCAACTGTTCACACACTTGCTTAGGCTCGGATTTCTATTTCATGGATTTGAGTACTACGCTACAAATTTGGTAAAAATGTGTTAGATGGCAACAAAGGTGAGTGAAGAACTGGGATGAGATAGGCAAGGCTGGGTGTTATGAAGACTTTGAAGCTCTAAGGCAATTAAGATACGTAGAAGAAAATTGCAAGAGAGATAAATGAAAGGCAAGAGGAAAAAGATAACTGTAACAACTGGGCCTACCAACAGCACAGATAAATTAAAACAAAACATGGGATACAACTGTGAGAAAAGGAGTCCAATGGTTATTTGCAGGGTAGAAAGGGTCAAGGTGGGAGGACTGTGGTGTTACAGGAGGGGGAGGGGGAATCTACTAAAGGATCTTGTCAAGATATCACTGGATTATGTATTACAACACAGCCCTTTGGTGATGTGATCTACTCGACTGAGCCCAAATGTAAGAAATCTGACAAGGCTTTCATCCTCTATTGAAGCAAAAGAAACCTCTTGGAAAGACTACAAGTTACAGATTTCAACACATGTATAATGCTCAGTTATCACTACCTCTCATAGATAGGGCTCTTGCTACTACTTACAAAACATACATGCAGACATTCATGTGATGGTGAAATTGGCCTCGCTGTACTTACTATATACCCTGCAGAGCATGGAATCTTATAAGGATCAATTTATGGCAATTTCATTGACATATCTAAACCAGCAATAGGTTGGGGAATCAGAAGTAATATTCCTAAAATATGGTACAACATAATCTTGCAATAAACTCTGGTTATAACTATCTGAATATAGTAACACAACATATTCCACATGGGGGACTAACACTATCTGTTAAAATGTTTATTACCTACACTTTATTCCTTAAATCATTGCAGTACTATCTATACCAAGTTATTTAGAGTTCATCTAGGGCATTTGTTAGAATTAGACTCCCATTAAATTTTTCTGATGCAAGTTATTAGCAACCATTTACCATCCTGCTCTTTCAAGTAATTCTTTTATATTTTCAACAACACAAAAAATACCCCTCCAACAAGAGTCTCCTTTATAAAGTCTTTTGGTCTGAACAGAACATATAAGCAGACAACCGTAATAATGGCTACCCTATGGTCTATGCCACTCCTCTCGTCACAGGTATAAGTCGACCAGGAGATTCACCATCACTCTTCAAACTCCCTGTAAGACAAGGAATGAGTATATGGGCATGCCTATTTTGTTACAAATGGGTAATCACAACCTCTCAGACAAAAGGTAACCAGAATGAAAATTTAGAATAGATCACAGTAATGTGACTCAATCTCAGAAAAAAAAAGACAAGGCAAACATTCCCTACAACCTATGCAGATCAACAAATTATAGGAAATATCAATATGACCAAAATTTGGAAATTTATGCCTCTCATTCCTTTCATTTCTCACCATCACCTATATACATATATACTATATTGCTGAAATCTTGGTATAAAATGAGATGCTAAATAAGCCCGGGTGGGAATATTTGAACTCTTGGTTTACCTGTTTGATGCATCGAGTGCTATGCTTGCCTCCCATTCACAAACAATTAAGCTCACTTACACAGCTAACACCACAGTCAACTTATAAACAACACCTACAAGAATGGGAAGAGTAAAAGTTTCTTGATATGGCCCATAGCTGCATAGAAGGTATAATTCATCTGATACATTTAAGTAGATTCACACAACTTCACACTTTTTAGCATGCAAACTTCCCCATATGATGGCAAACAGACATGCCCACAGACCAAAGTTGTTTTCAATGCACTGGTTGTGTAAATGCCAAAATCAGATGACTTCAGTTATACTTGCATGATGCCCTACTACATCAATTTATTAACTTTTAAGGTAGATAATTTGCTATATGAACTGCACTGGTTCAAATCAACTTCCACTTTTTCTTCATACATGGAAGTCTAAAACATCTGTTAAGCTTTACAATGCCACATATTTGCATGGTCAAACCATATATCAAATAATTTCTAAGGTATTACCAAGTCCTGACAGGATTATTTACCTGAAATCTCTTTTTTAAAATATCATAAAATCTATCACTGTACATCATCACATCATCGGAATAGGTATGATTAATAATTTTCTGTACATGAAAGAAAAAAAAAATAAAATAAAACATCTAAAGTACTGTGAGTTATGAGTAGGGTACAACCTATTTCATAAATTCCCATGACGCTTTATATTTCTGAAACATCTGGCATAGACAACTGACTTTAAGTTAGTTTTAAAAGAAAAATAAATAAATGAAAAATGATAACAATGAACCTTGTCTCATGTGTTCCACTTTGGCTTCTGATATGGGAGCAAAAGTCAAGTCTATTTTCCATTTATTTATCTACCTAAACAATCTACTAATCCATTAGAAGTTTCCTAAATCATCAATTAATTACATCTCCTTCAAAATATCAGGCAAGTGAACTAACATTAGACAAAAAAAAAAAAAGAGAGAAAAAAATAATAAAAAATTAAATAAGAATAAAAAATAAAAATCCTGAGTTGCGATGGATTTTTCCAAGTCCTGATGGGATATTTCGGCACCATTTTCACACATGGCCGCTGTGCAAGGCGGCTTGGAGCCCTAACTAAAAATGGCCTCATAGAAGTGCCATCATAATCATCCTCAGTGATTCTTTATTTCCACCTATTATTTTTTTTAACTTTTTTTTTTTTTGTAACTTTTATTTTTTTATTTTTATAATTATTTCATTCTGCTTTCTCTTTTCTTTTCAAACTTCCTTTTATCTTTGAAAAAAATTATCTCTCTCAGAGTAAGATCATAATCTAACTGGTGGTGGCTGCTAACTCTGGGGACGTTGTGAGATAATCGTCAGCTCGCTTGTGGTCACTCAGTGCCTTGATTGTGTACTGATCATGGGGTAGCTCA